GTTGTAGATTCTCAGTGCCTCTAGACTTTAAATGCATGCACCTATAAGAGAGAAACCAAGAATAGAAACAGAGTTAGTAACCAAATTCAAAGAAAACTTGATCTTAAAGATTCTACAAACTCTAATGATTCAAACAGAAAATCCCAATGGCAACAGCGCCAAATTGATACAAGAGTTTTGACTCTCTTGGTCAATCACCCATTGTACTTAATCAGTTGTAACATATGGGTTTTAATGTCAATCTAAGGGGAGTTGTTGAATACAGAAGAGTTGCAAGCAGAAGTCCTTAAGTCAAGTGAAACAGAAAGGTTTTTGTTGCTTAAGCAACTGAACTAGCAACCTAATGTGATCATATACCAAAGAGAATTCAAGAAGAGAGTCCAGTAATGATCAAAGAAGCAAAACATAGCAAATAAGCAGAGCAAATGGCTAATTCGAAATTCAAATAAAGAGAAGCCAAGTTCATAGATGTGGTTATTGATTTTGGGGAATTCAAAGACTAACTAAGGTTGTTTCAAACATCATTGATCAAGCAAACAAGCTAGCAATGCTGTTTCCTAGACATAGAGTTCACAAACAAGCAAGCTAAGTTCAATCTCTTGACAAATAGTCCTTTGCTAAACATCTTAACAAGAACTAACTCTCATTAGTGCTAAAACATTCAACAACCATTAGGAATCAACTCTATTCATGTCAAAATACTCCTCAAACAGTCAATCTCTTGAGCTAAGGCCAGTAAATCTCATATTAAACAAGATCAGCATTTCATCAAACACATGGTGGGCATAAGAGAAAGCCTAATTCTAGATTAATGAGATCAAGACAAATCTAGCTTAAGAACAGATTAATAGAGAGGAACCCATGTTATTAAGCACTAAACAAACCTTAATCAATCCCTAAACTCCCCTAATCTACCATATCTAAGAACCCTAAGCAAAGTACTCACTAATAGCCATGTTTAACACCAAATCACAAAGGGATAGGATGCTAATCATTATTAAAAGAGAGATTAAGAAAAGATTAAAGGCAAATACAAACATATATTAAGCAAAGAAAGAAATTTGTCTTACAAACTTAGAAAAATCACTCAAGAACAGTAAATTGACAAGACATGTCGAAAATCCCCTTAAGACAGAGTATTTATACTTAAAGAGAAAAGCCCTAAAAGTAATGACAGAATGGTAAATAAAGGCAGGTTCGGGCTGGATCCTATCGGTCTACATGTGACCGATAGCCTGATCGATAGGCTTGATATCGGTCTGAAAATGACTGATAGGGTGACCAGAATACGCTCGTTTACTTTTTATCGGCCAGTCATCTTGACCGATAGGCTGCTCGATAGCTCCTCTATCGGTCACTCTTTGACCGATAGCCTTTGTGCCTTAACCGATAGGGCTTGTAGAAATCGTCTGCCTTGACTCCTCTTGCTCCATCTTAGCTCAGCTAGCCTCTTGGTTCATTCCCAAAGCTCCTCCTTGCGCCTCATAGCTCCATAAGCACCTAAAAACTTCCTTTATGCAAAGAAAATGCAAACTACATCCTAAATGCAACCTAAGTCTAATAGGAGAAGAAAGTGGGACTAAAGAGAAAGAAAACATGCAAAAGATGACCAAAACATGAACTAAATGCAACCCTAAATGATGTAAATGTATGAGATATCAATATGTGCGATCATATTGCAGTGGTCACTTTACGTATTAAAACAATCCGGGCGCGTGTGGTATAATTTCTTAAGTGAATGTTTGTTGAGAAGACGCTATGTAAACTATGTGATATGCCATTGTATATTCATTTAAAAATCCATGTTAGAATTTGTGATCATAGCTGTTTATATTTATGATCTAAACACGATTAGAACTCAAAAAGAGATTGATGATGCAATAATTCATATGAAGGACGAGTTTGAAAAGAAAGATCTTGGAAAGACAAAGTTTTGTCTTGGGCTCCAGATCGAACATCTCCGAGATAGAATATTTCTGCATCAATTAAATTATACAAAAAGGATCCTTAAACACTTTCGCATGGACAAAGAAACTCCTTTGAGTACTCTAATGGTCAACAGATCACTTGATGTTAACAAGGATCCGTTTTAGCCTTGTGAAGGTAGCGATGAAATAGTAGGTTCTGAAGTATCTTATATGAGCACTATTGGTGCACTTATGTATCTTGCAAATTGCACTAGACCAGATATTACTTTAGCTACTAACCTACTTGCAAGGTACAGTTCATCACCGATATGCATGCATTAGGGTGGAATTAAGCATATCTACCATTATCTTCATTGTACGATTGAAATTGGAATATATTACCCTAGAAACCACGAGGTTGGTCTGGTTGGTTTTAAAAATGCAGGATACTTATCAGATCCACATAAGGCTCGATTACAAACAGGCAATATTTTCACTATTGATGGGACCGCAATCTTGTGGCATCCATAAAAGCAGACTTTCGTTGCTGCATCTTCAAATCATGCAGAAATTATTGCACTTCATGAGGCATTTAGAGAATGTGTGTGACTAAGATCTATAACTAATCAAATCCAAGAAGAAAGTAGGATAGTCATCAAGAAAAATCCAACACAAGTATTCGAAGATAATGCAGCATGCCTTAACTCAAAGAAGGTTATATCAAGAGCAATAGAACAAAACATATCCCTCTAAGATTTTTTTCCTACACTCAAGAGCTCGAGAAAAATGAAAAGTAGATATTCAGTATGTTTGCTTATGTGATAACGCAGTTCCAACTACAATATTTGAAAACATGTTCATAGCATTGAAATGCGGCATCTTCAAGACCGGTGAAGAGAAAATGAGATCCATTTTTACCAGAGGGAGTTTGCTGTTGTTGTACTCTTTTTTCATTTGGCATGGTATTTGTCCTACTGGGTTTTTCTATGGAAATATTTTTAACGAGGCAGCACACAACTTCATAGTAATGGATACTCAAGGAGAAGTGTTAAGAAAGTGGTAATTATCTATCTTCGTGCCACCTCATGGAGACTTGTCTAATTCATGCAATAAATGGACACTTACCTTGATTATTATCCTCATCATCAAAACAAATATCATTAGCTCCGTAAATTTGTGATAATTATTTATGTACTTTCTCTACTATAAATAGATGGTTGTAGTAAAGAAAGAGAAATCTTGAAATTACATAAGTTGTAAACTAAGAAATAACTTGAATAAAAACTTTACTTCTCTTTTATTGCTTTATATTTAAAGAGTTCACAATATTAATTATCATTTACTTTCATTATTCTCAATAATTTTCACAATTTTCTATCAATGAGATACTTATTTCATATTATTTTCTTATTATGAATCAATTTGGAACATTTGTTCTACTTATATTACTTATGTAAAATTGGTAAGATTATTGAATTCTAGAATTTCGCATTAGCAAATATAAAGTACTATTCTATGTGAAACAAAGAAAATATTTAAAATGCACTTTTATGAAATGGAAGGAGTATTATTCTATTTATGAAAAGAAGAAAAATCTGCAATGAAGATAAAATTCTAAAAGTGTAAATTAAATTATCATTTTATGACACAAAAATCAAGGGAGCCGCCAGAAGACCCCCCACCAACCAAAATGCCAGCCATCACTGGATCTCGGCCGTCTGCCTCTTCATCTAAGCTCTATCTCGGGATCTTTTCTTCTCCGATGAGATTTTGTTTCGGCCTCTCTCTCTCTCTCTCTCTCTCTCTCTCTCTCTCTCTCTCTCTCTCTCTCTGCCTCTCTCTCCAGCGTTACTCGACGGTTTAAATGTTGCTCTTGAGGACTGAGCTTCCGATCTGTCCTTTCTCACCGCCAGAGTTGCTTGAGCAAGCTTCGTCTCTCTTTCTCCACCGGAGGACCCCCCTGACAATTCAGCAGATGATTTCCCAACCTCTGAAACCACCGGATCCGCCGGATCCACCAGATTGGTGGGTTTGGGATTCTTTGTCGTCCTCGGTCTCTCTCCCTCGCTCAGATCCGCCGTGCTTCACCTCGGCTGCGGAATGGCTTACCGTGTCCCTCTGCTCTGTCGAGAGGCTCTCTAGACCCGACTTCCTCCCTCTGCCGCCGTTTTAACCTCTACCGCAGATCTGTCGTCTTCTCTGTCTCCGTTCATCCCCACAGCAAGCCCATCACCACTTCAGCCCTCGCCATCGAGAATTCTTCTCGGGCTTCAAGGCGCGCTCTTCGCCTCCCTTCTCTGCACATCAGCCGTCATCATCCTCCTCCCTCTTCAATTGGAGCTTCTGGTCTGCTCCACCACCAGTCATATCACCGCTATCGGTAAAGTCTGCCTCTGGTGACAGCATCACCGGCCCAATCCGGGTTCTCGGCAAACCCGTTTGGCCCCTGACCTGTCTCGAATCCAACGCAGCCAATCCTGTATGCGGGCTTCTCATCTGGTGGGCTTTAATGGGCCTGGACCAGTTGGGTCAAGGCTTGGACTTGTTTCACAAGTCGAGCCCAAAAAGTAGTTTTTTCCTGAATTTTTGATGGGTTGTGAGGCTTGGTACCACTCATCTCTTGCTATTGGCAAGTCATTTTTTTGTTTGGGAGTTAGAGGTAGCCGACTGCGGCAACAATCCTCTTCCGTTCAGTTTCCACCTTATCCGGAAGTTAGAGGTAGTCAACGATGATAACAATCCTCCTTCGACGGTGCTTCATCTGAAGATGCAATTCTTGAGTATTGCCAGCTTACCGACGTATCTCAGACTTTGCGATTCTCCTTTGTGAAGAAGTTTCTCGAACGCTCAGTCTTGACGGCATTTCGAGCTATTATTGTCGTTCGCTTGTTTCTAATGACAAAAGAACTTCAGATCATTTTCAGATCGATCTCAGAAACCTTTTTGAAGAAGTTTCAAGTTTTTGTTTTTGACTTAAACTGCATAACCTATCATTTTACTGCTTTGATCTATTTTTCTGCAACAAGTAATTATTCTTTGGCACGGAATCATCGACTTATATATGTTTGTCTTAAATCTACGATTAATATAATCAGTTGAAAAAAAAAATTATCATTTTATAAATTGGCGACCCCTAATTGAGTAATTTTCAATCTGTTCTCTTTGTTTATAACAATTTCGAAGATTAACAATTGCAAAGATTAAAAAAACTAAAACGTAAAATAAATACAAAAAGTAAAACCTTTAATCAATATTTTTGAACTACTGTATTTGGTTTATCTTAGAATTTCACTTGCTTGCAGGCTGTTGCTTGTGCTCACACAGGGTACTGCTGATTGTAACATATTCTACAATCTAAACTATTTCTCGGTCGTCACTGAGCGAGACATGAACCTGGTTCGAAAGGCACGACTCGACCACCACCAACCAAAGGTGCAGCGGCAACTCCTCGTTGATTCAACAAGCATCTAAAGTGAGCCAACCTCGTCGTTACCTTGTTGGGATTTTTAGCCAACTTTGCATAGGGTGTCCATAACCGCTCTATCAAATACAACATATAGCCATAATATTTAGCATTTAGCATAAAAATTGTATAAGAAAACGTTTTATATATATACCTGCGGCTGCGGCGGCGCGAGGCCAAATGGTTTGTTCAATGTCAGAAGCATCAATGTGTTCACCCCACATGCAAACCTCACCACCAAGTACTAGGCTTTGTTGCTTTTGATCATTTATGTTTTCAAGTGGCTCGTTCACGTAAAACATTTGCCAAGGTGTGTCTATATGGTCCAAATACCATTTGTCTTGGTTACTCACTATACACCTTAAACCGGACGCTGTCACTTTCTCAACAACTCCTGTACCAAGCCTGATTTACCAAGTGAAAAAAAAAGAGTATTTTCAGGGTTGTCACTATTTTTTCTACGTGCACAAGTTGAATTTCTTTATTATGGTATGCATTTACCAGTTGTGAACCACGGTTTTTGGGCTTAATTTGCCTCCAAAATTGTTGAAGGTTTCTTCCCTACATTGTATGAACATTAAAGTAAAATGTAGTAAGATATCAACTTTGATTAGCTTATCTTTTTATACTAAAAAATTATATTGACAGGGTATTTAATTAGTTACCAATTGATGATTTCATATCCATGAGACAAAGCAATTTTTTGAGCTCGCAGTACAAAATATTCATAAGCTTGTGCTTCAGTCTTCCGATGTTTTTTTAGCCTACAAGGTTAGAAAGTTAAACTAACATGAGAACATGAACATTTTAGAGAAACGACAGAAATTTCTAAGTATCATTACCATTGGGCTATTCGCGGTGTTGTAGACCAGCAAGCTGCAACGAAGTATATGTAATCGAAATTTCAGGAAACCAACACTATACAGAGAAAATATATAATGTTAAACAGAGGAGATTCTTTATTACTTGTATTGACTTCATCGCCTCCCAAGTGGACAAATTTAAACTTAAAGATCTTGCTGAAATCTGAATAAATACCTCCATTAGAAGTAAGGAAACCTTTGGTTATGCTTGTGATGAATGTTGAGAGAATCAAAGATTTTACCAGAGAGAATGCCATCAATGACCTTGAATGTAAAGTCACTGCTCACGTCAAGTGGTTCTTGACAATTCTTGGAGGGCCACAGTGAAGGATATCCTTTTCCCCTTTATTTATTTATCACCAAAACAAAAAAGAATGAAGATTTATTATAGTTGCTAATGTTAAAATAAAATGTGAAAGTGTGGTTATTTAAATGAATCTCATAATGAAGAAGGGTAACAAAGAAATTACCATGAAAGAGCATGTCCTGGAACATCAATCTCAGCCAAAACATGAATCCCTCGTCGTTGAGCATATCTATATATACAAAGGTTTACTATCAGCTGCAAAATATCCGGATATATAAGTTATATTGATTTGATTTAATTTAGTATTTGCAAATTAGAATTCATGATAAATATAAATGTATTTATATCATTTATAATTCAGTACGAATCCCAAACATACTTAACGATCGCAGTAGCGTCTTCAAAGGTATACTTCTGAGAGAAAGAGTAAGCCCCATTCCATAGCTTTGGATACGAAAGAATCTCTAACGGAAATGACTGTGAATCCACAATGTGCCAATGAAGCACATTCTGCAACCAAACCATACGAGATTATTAAAAGTGATGAGATTCATCAACTAACCAAATTGAATCATTATAAAGTCTCTTAAGAGCTTACGAGTTTGGCGTATGTCATGGAATCAATCACGTTCTTGATAATAGGAAGTGGCAAATAATGACGGGATGTATCTGTTGTAACAAACAATTCTCATATCATTACAAATTTACAACAAAGCTGTGAATTTCTGATGGAGAAATAAATTCGTCGAAACCCCGTCAGATATAAAGTTTTTGATAGTTTTATATTGGTTGTAAAATTGTTGAAAATTGAAAATCATTGGAAATTTATGAAAGATATTTTACAGAATCAAAAAGAAAAATTCGACAGATTTCAGATGAAAAGCTAAAACAAGAAAGAAAAAAAATATAGTATTTCATTATTAGAAAACAAAACCTATTGCAAAATAGAAAACAACAGTAATTAAAAGGATGATTTTTTTTACAAAACGACAATAGTAAAAGGATGTTTAAATTTAAAATGGAAGAAATATGTGTTAAAAATAAATATAAAAGAGTTCAAATAATTGAAAACCTGCTTACCGATCAAAAGACCACGGTAAGAGAGTCTGGGCTGGTCTGTGATATTCCATGGAGTCATTAAAATCTCTATTACCTTTTTCTTCATATTAAAGTGGCATAACTGGCTGAAAGTCTGCATTTACGATTTTACATATTCATTTTCTTCAATAAACTAATTTTTATTATTTTTTTTGGTAAAAAAAAAAACTACTTATACTTTTCTTTAAATGATCACAAAGTTGACAAAATAATAATACACACAAACCTGTAGGCCATGCAATGCACCGTAGACGCTATTTGCCTGCGTATTAACATCAATATCAACGGAGAGGATCACGATTGTATTATTATATTTTCATATAATGTTTGATGAAACATGACACTATGACAGACCAACACTAGTGGATCAGGATTATCTTTTCATGTATTTTGTACGATTGTCTAAATAATTGATCTGTCTATGTATTTTCTAGAATAAATAAAAATTGGGGAAATATTAATTGATATATAAGCGTGCTAACTATTTGTGCTCATGCATTTGCTTTCTAGGATTGGAAAAATAAAAAACCACACTAAGCCCATCATTTTTAATGCAGTTCACGTGGAGGCAACCATCCTATGTCCCTACCTATGTTACATGGTCTACAGAATAATGGTTTTTATTTTTAGTTAAATGTGGGCATCCCAAACCAGATCCCAGATTAATGCCACGAGACTTATAGAATTTTGGATTTTTTGTCACTAAAAACATGTACGGGTGGCTATCTATGTATAATTGAAATCACAGTAGAAAAATGCGAACCTTGTCCTAGATTCGCATAGCGAATCCTATCAATCACTAGACCATCATAATTAGTTAACCAATACATTTCGAATCTAAATTCATAATCTCTTCGGTTCAAACATGTTTTTGTCAGTAAAATAGAATGTAAAAAGTGTCTGATTGTGTTTTTGTACTTTGGTAAAGTGTATTTGGCGTAAAATTCTCTTAAAAGAAAAGAATAAAAATGTTGAAATAGATGAAAGAGTTTTTGTATCTATTTTTCTTTAAAATGTATTTGGTCGTCAAGTTGATTATGTGTCGAACTCAACTACAAAAGAGAGCAACTGAAAGAGAAACCAAATATTTAAAGTTTGTTCTTTTATGGTTAGAGAAAATTATAAAAGTTGGGTTTAGGTGGTGTGTGGGACCTACTAACCTCAAGTTGTGCATAAGACGGCTTCTCTCGGGATGCAACCACCAATTTGTACGACTCGTCTGATCCATATTCCAACTGCACCACACCAATCACACAGTTTTTACGATTTTTGTTTTAAACAATACTGTATTTTTTGGTTTTTTCTATCAAAGATGGGTTTTTTTTTACATTTTTAGTTCTATAATTTTCACGTCATTAGTAATTTCCTTTGGTTGGTTACTTGGTGTTAAAAGTCAATTAGTAATATTCAAACGATCAGATAATTAATCTCATAACCAGAACATAAAAGAATGGTTAAAATATGTTCAAACCAAAAAATGGTTAAAAAATATTTATCAAGTATGTATATAAAATTTGATCTAGAAAATATATTAGATAATCTATCAAATTAAAAAAAAAACGGATATAAAATTAAGCCATGATGTAAATTTTACTATGAGAATCTTGCCATTGTCATTCTTTTGACATATATTGTTTTAGTATTCTTATATCATATTTCACATTTTTAAGTCACTAATTTATAAACGATGGATTTAGGAGGAAATTCTAGAATAATCATCGAGACATGCACCTGTCAAATAAATTCTATGTGGTAAAAAGAATTAATAAATTGGATTATTTCCTATCTTCAACATATATAAAACACTGAATTACTACCATTAACTATTTGTAATTTATATATTTATACATTTGTTTCCACATACTCATACTTATATTTTTCACGATCACGTGGAATCCAAGAATGTAATATTAAAGATAGGATTGGATCTCTGCAATCTTACCCTTAAACTATACGTACTATACTATTCGAAACAAACAGTAAGCACATGCATTGATATATTATTTTAAAGCAATTAATGAATTAATCAGAATCATATTGCTAATGTGATTTACTTGCAGTATTTCTGTAAATTTCGGCAAAAGTTATAGAAAATAATATATTGGTGCTAGACTCCTAGAGTTTAAACGGATAATGTACGACACAAAAATTCTATACATATTAATTATAGTGTCAAATTGTCCTAAAGAGACCTATATTTTGTATTGTATTAGCTCTAATGTCATAAATCTAATTTTTTTTAATAATAAATTAGTTCTGAAAGTACTATTTCAAATATAAAAAGTTTCGTTTGATCATCCATGCGAATATGCGATGATACGCTGGCAATTGTTTTATCCACCAATTCTCTTTCAATTTCTTAAAATAATATACAGAGGATAAGTTCTAAACAGAGCAATTCTTTCTATCTTTTTTTTGTTTGTTTAACAGCAGTTCTTTCTTTACAAGAAAAAAAAAACAAAGCAATTCGTGTAAGATATGTTTCTCCCTTTTGTTCCAAGTTAAGAATTTTAATTAATCAATGACGATGTCCGTGAGTTCGGTGGACCACCACACAACTAACTCGCCAGACACCAATCAGCAAAGCCAAGGAACAAAAAATTAAAATAAATTAAGAAGTTGGAGAATTGATACATCTACGCCCAACAATGCTAGCAGTTTTTATGGATATCTCTAGGGGTGGGCAAAATATCCGTTATATCCGGTTCGAATCGATATTTGCTTCGATCCGATTCGAAAAATCCGGATATCCGTAAAGCTTCGGAGCAAAGCAAATAACAAAATATAGTATCCGTACAAAACGGAGCAAATCACAAATATGTTTTTAGACAACGTCGGATATCCGATCCGATCTGTATCTTTATAAATTTATTATATATTAGTATATATTATCATGTATATATCAATTATATTATAAATTTTTATTAATATACTCTCGATTTTCTTCCTAAATTTTTAATATTTTCTAAATTTTTTGATTATATAAAATAAATGACTAAATAACCAATCATAAAAATAAATAGTATGTTTAAACTTAAAATATGTTAATAAATAATATTTTATTTGATATTAGTTAATAAATATCAACAATGTTTTTTTAGTAAAGTTTAATATTAAAGTTTCAACTAGTTAATATTATTTTTAAATATAAAATATCATTTTTTCCTCATCTTAATTTTGTATTTTTATAAATTTTTTATAAGATAAAATGTTTTCTTTTAGTTATTTTTACTTAATAGTTTAGATAAAAAATATTTTTTTATAATAAAATTTGATGTACTTTCAGTTTTGTATATTAAACGGATCAAACTAAATATTTATAAATATCTGTAAATATCCGTAAATATCCGCAAATACTTGTAAATTTTCCGGATATCCGAAAATCCTTATATTTCCGGAGCAAATCAAATCATAAAATTAAATATCCGTTAAAAACGGAGCAAACTACAAATACTTAAAAATTTCCGGATAACCGATCCGCGCCCACCCCTAGATATCCCACTGACGATGTTGCGTAAATCTAAGATATAATTTTGTTCAATACTTCATAAAGTAACTCTATTTTGAGCTGGCTAAAACTCCTTCATGAAGATTGACTATACCTAATCAGTTATAGCTGACGAACAAAAAAATCAGTTATAACGGAAGACAAAAAAATTACATTTCGATGTAAGGAGTGAATGTTGAACATGATAGAAGAAAATAATTGGAGTAAAAAATCTTATCATTTTGTATTCTGTTATTGTTTAGGAATTTTTTCAACATAACTTCCATAGAGAATAAGATAAAAAATAATAAAAAAATTGGGTTTGAATGGTATATTAACTTGATAGCGTAGAATAATTCAATAATAAATTAGTGAAATCAATAGAATGAGTAAACTGAAAACTGAATAAACTCAAAATGCTAAAAATTAGTATTTACTAAAGAAATTTTTCTTTTTTTTTTACCTTTAAGCTTATAACTTTCTTAAATATCAGTCAAAGTTTTAGCAAATTGTTGAAAATACACCACAATATGATCAATTCCTTTTACTTTTGGTAAGAGTTCTTATTCAAAATATGAATTCAACGAAATTAAAATCCAATACTGTAAATGATAAAACCAAGTCAGGTTTGTTCTAAATATTTTAGATAAAAACAACTCTGAAATTTTACTACATAAACTCCAACTTAAATAACTTCTGTTTTTATAACTAGTCCAATTTACTCGATTGTCTATATCAAAATAAATAAACCTTCACTTGAACCAAATAGATACCGAACTAAATAAAAGTCAGTGCAATTTGTTAGCTTACTATGTTTTCAATATAATTTCTTCAAATAATTTTGTTCTTCTTTTTTTTCCATGAACAAATAAAGAAAATGGACTAGTGGATACAAAGTTGGTCTAGGAAAAAGGAAAAGAAAGAGATACGCTACAAATGCAAGTTTTGTGAGAACGACATGTCTCAAATAAGAACTGTATATCCCATTAATATAATTATTTTGTGTTTGATTTGCAAATAGGTACTACTCTTTTTTGGTTTAAAAATAGGTACTACTCTTATTTCATTAACTTGAGGAAAGTTATAATTTTCATGAGAGTTTCGTTAATGTGAATGGATGAATGAAACTGACCTCATCGGAAGACGAGGAGATGATGACGTGGAGTCCCTGAAGCAGAGAAGATCCACCGGAGCCAGAAGAATTTCCGTCCCCGGAGACGACGTGGCTCAGCCTCACGATTCCGAGCATTCTATCGAATCCTTCTTTCAAAATCCCTGAAGGGTCTTCGTATTTGCTTCCCTCTGTGACAAGCTTGAAACCTTCGCTCAGAACCATTCTCCGGCCGCCGTGGTTAACTTCCGCCGGCAACGGCCAAATCCGTAACTTTTCGATGTCTTCAAAGGCGGAGATTGCTCCGGCGATGAAAAGCATAAACAGCGGCGCAACGCCGGCGATCTTTGTTGCTACACCTCTCATTTTTCCTCTCAGTAGAACACGGAGATAGCAAAAATGAAAATGGCAAAATGGTTTTTAATCAAAGCAAAATGCTAAGCAGAAATGAAGGAGAATCTCCTAATTCAGAACTTATATATATCTCTCTCTATAATTTGTGATGCCAATTTCTTTATAAATCAGGAGATTCTCCTTTTTCATATATTTTTAATATAACAAGGGGATTTCTGTCCTTTTTCATATATTTTTATATATTTATAAAGCAGAAATGTCTGTCATTTGTTCTTTTATTACACTGTCATGTTTTCTTATTTACCCACTAAGAGCATCACCAACGGTAGAAGCTATTCTCATCGTCTCTTCCTTATATAATATTAATATAATTTATTTATTTAATTAAAATTAAAATAATATAAAAAATGAACTAATTATTAATTGACACTTGGACAGAATCTCGACAACCCGTCTCTTAAACCTTTTCAATCAGAACCTTTTCTGATTTCTCTCTCTTCCTTTTCTTTTTTTTTATAATTTTTTATTTTTTGAAACCTCATTTAGAAGCTCCCGTTGGAGCTGGTCTAATGTTTTCAAGTTCAATAATTTGTGATGTAGGTGGGGTTATTATAGATTTTGAGAATTTTGAGATTCCATCATTATTGGTTTATTGATTCTTAAAATCTTACTAGAATCCATTGTTATTGGTTTAAAAATTTTAAATTTATATTCAAAATCTTTTGTTATTCAAAAAGTTTGGCTTTTAGAAATTTTATGATTGTATTAAAATCTTGTGTTATTATGGATTTTAAATAATTTAATTCATAGAACAAGATTTTGGAAGATTTTCAAAATATTACCTATATGGCTTAGATTCTCAAAGTCATTATAATAAAATATTTTTATATATTTTCTAAATAAACAAACTTTTTCCAAATTTAACAAATATTTTTAATAAATTTAACAAATCCCTCAACTCTTAAAATCAATCAAAACTTTATAAATCCATCTCCCAATAACCCCTTCCCCGTAAACTCGATACCAAATTACAAAACCATAAAATAAACCTGATAAATGATAGGACTCAGGTTTTACCCAAATAAAACTACTGCAAGTGCACAGCAATGCAGTTATAGTATAAGAGGTTATCGAATCTCAAGGGAGTAAGTAAGCTACACTATAAATTTTAAATTCGGATTAAGCTAAGCAATAAGTAATGAATGTAATGTGAAACAGCAAAGTAAATGCAAGTGAACGTTTTAATGATTGATCTTAAAGTTCAGAAAGCCAAAGGCGCTAAATCAGGATAATTCGCAGGTTGAATCCGAGAGTGTAGAATGCATGCAATCAGGAATGAAAAAAACCGTCTTGAATATGAATCGCAAAGATATAACTAATCAATTCTCATTGCAGAAGTTATCTATGTCTAAATCACAGAGTTTCAAATCTCTTTCCAAACTCTAACAACCTAAACATGCAGTAATGATCAGGTTCAATTGTCCACAAAACTCCTAAGCCAAATCTCTTTTCACTAAGGCGTTTTGCTCATCTAATGCTAGTTCTGGTGATTAATAATGTTCTCACACCTATCAAACAACCTAGGGTTTCGAAATCCAGATGATGTGTCTAAGAAATTGATATGAATGCAAGCACATATGAAGAACCAATGGATTCCCTATCAGTTTAACAATTCTACAAAATCTTCATCAACCTTTGAAAAGCCCTAACTTAACTAACAAACTACTCAGACATGGTGAATGAAACAAACATTATGAAAATAATAGATTGCATAAAAGAAATAAGAAATAAAGATAAAGGAGTTCGAAATCTGCTCTGAAGGAGTCTGATTTGTCTCTCCAAAAGCTCTTCTACAAATCTCTCTAGAAAATAAGATACACAGTAAAAGCCAACAATGGCTGAAAACCTAATATAACAAGCTAAAACACGAGCTAGGGCCTTTTGGCAAATACTAGAACTTCTAGGCCAAAACTGAAATTTTCTCTCTAACTTTTGATAAATGTCGCGATTTCTCTTCAAAGGCTGGTGACGAGCGTCACCCACTGCAGGACAACGGTTCCGAGCTGCTTACTTCGGGGATGATCCTTGCAAAGATCCAAAAAGCTCAAAAACCTCCAATTATGGTCCAAACATGGTATAACCTGCAAAGACTCTACTAGGACTCTAAAAAGACCAAAAAGACTCAATAAAAAGGACTTATATCATGGTTAAAAACCATAAAAACCATGATACATCAACTCTCCCAGAACTTAGCTTTTGCTTGCCCTCAAGCAAACATCAGAAAAAGAACAGGGTCGAGGTTTGAAAACAGGAACAGTCAGCTAAACATCAGGAACACCACATTGATTAATATTTTTGAATCCACATACCACATAGCCAACACAAGATCAAATTTCAGTCTAATCATCACAAGCTTAGCAAATCTCTCAAATCCAATTCAAGCTATTTAAAGAAATCCGAAATCTCTACTGCTAACTCCTTATATATATCTAAGTGTGATATCTCATCAAGGTTTTATCATCTCAATCACTTATAGATTATTTTCCCTTCCTAAACACTGAACAAAGCAATCTCAACACAGCTCTCCTATTTTCTCTTCCCTTGATCTTTTCCTTTGGATATTTTCGATTTTTCAACTTCTTTTCTCATTTGTTTTACAGTCTAAGATATGGTGCTACTCAATACTTGTGTTCCTTGTAAGGAGACAGGTTTTTAAGTGTTCACTAGTGATGTTCCTTGTAAGGAGACATGATCATGATGCACCATTCTACAGACTTAAACTCATAAAAGCTGTATCAGGGAAAATAAAAGAGAGACTGTATCTAAACATTCTTGTCAGTGTTGAAAGAGAGAATCAAAATCAATGAGAATCAAGCCCCAAGACAAGAAGTTTAATGTTCATTAAGGTAGAGCTAATAGCAAATTTTCCAAATGCTTTAAGAACATAAACCTTCATTGCTAGACTGATCTACCTATGACTTTCAAATTAGTAGGACTTGTAATAAACTACTGTGGCAATGGTTCTCATAAGCATCAACGTTTTGTGGTTAGTTCCAAGAAAAACTTACAGTTTCAGAATTTGACTCTATAAAACAGGTTTTTGACTCAACTTTAAGACTCTAAAAAACAAAACACAATGTACACAACGTCAGTAGCCACCTCCTCTAGACTTAAACAACACTGTCCCCATTGTTATTAAGCCTGGAGTTGGTCAAAAAGAAGCCGGTGAACGAGTAGAACCAAGTGTGAAAAGTGGTACCTCATGAAGGGACGGGTGATGAGCGTCACCTCTCAATGGTGAAAATCGTCACCACGTATGAAAGTCCAGAAATCAACATTTGGATGTGGTAATGTAATGCCATCATGTGTGCTCCAAAGTCAGACAATGGGCTGCCTCCCACCAAGCGCTTGTTTAAAGTCATTAGCTCGACTTTGATTTCCTGTTCAGACAACTGGTGGATCAGAAAGTGGTAGTGAATGCCTTGGAGAAGAGTGTCTCTTCATCCATGGTGGTGTATAAGCAGCAGATGCATGAACTCGTCCAAGGAAGTAAGGAACATCAGCATGGCGGGTTGTGGCTGTGGGTGGGACACTTCTTTACCCTGCAGAAACATCAAAAGAAACATCAAGCTTTCTACGAGAATCTCGTTGCTTGCATAAGTGTGAAGCAGCTTGTCCACCTTTTAAGTTCTTATTGATGAGATTAGGAGGTTTGGAAGTGGTTCTAGGAAGTGCATATCTTTGCTTTGTTGGAGGTTTCTAGTTTGTGGAATGTTGAATTGTTGGTTTGGCAGCATAAGATGGACTTGCAGCATAAAGATCATGTCTCAGCTTTGTGTCCGGATTGGTGACGAGCGTCACCAGGTTAGTGACGATCGTCACTGATCCTGCAGTTCGAGTTTCTGCAGTTTTCCTGCAGTTCAACTCTGCAATCTTTGCCTCCATCACAAACTCGTCTTCCCCCAACAACTTGTCATTGATTGGAACCTCTTTTTAGAGCCTAGTCTTGTAGATATGATCTTCACTCCAATCCTCAAACCCAACAGCTTTCACAGAAATTTCAGATATTGCTCCTTGAACAGCCATCTTGTTCACTTGCCCACTAGTATCTGATTCATTGATATACCCTGCTGTAATGTCTTCGGAATGCTCCATGAATGGTTCTTCGTCTCTGGAAATCCTTACAGAAAAAGTTTGACCATCAATGATGGATTTCCCTCTCATCATATCCATGTCAAAATTCATGACAACATCACCAAGATCAAGCTCTATGTTCCTTTTTTTCACATCAATGATGGCGCCATCAGTAGCCAAAATGATCTTCCCAGAATAAGAGGATATTTAGGTTCTTCCGAATATTTCAAAACCACAAAGTCTGTGGGAATCATGCAGCCTTCAATGTTAACAGGAACATCCTCTAAGATACCTTCTGGGGTTCTTATGGATCGATTAGCTAAGATAAGAAAGATCCCAGCTGGCGTGAAATCAGTCATTCCAAGTCTAGCAGCAACAGAGGAAGACATCAGGTTAATACTTGACCCTAGATCACATAGAGAATGGGGAAAACGTCCTGTTGAGATTGAGCAATCAAGCAAAAAGTTTCATGGATCAGGTGGCTTCTTTGGAACTCTGCTTTGAATGATGGCGCTGACTTGTTCTGAAACAATCACCTTCTTCTTCTTCTTTGGATGTACACCTTCTTCTTCTTCTTTAGATGTGTGCTTAAGAGAATTGCACTGATGTCTCTAGTAAGCAATGCTCCTTCCTCAGGACTTACACCATTCACAACCATCTTTTTGACATACCTTCTTACTGCAGGTTAAAGCTTGACTGCGTCAACAAGGGGAATTTCAAGCATCAGCTTGTCTATCATAGCTTTGCATATGGCTTCTTCTTTCTCCTATTTAGACTTACTAGGATGCTTAGGGAAAGGTGTCTTGGGTTTATAAGCTTGTTCCTTGCCTTTATCTGCAGCTACAGGCGAAGCAGCTTCGTTCTAGGGTGGGTGACGATCGTCACCAGGGGGTGACGATCGTCACCAGGGGGTGATGCTCGTCACTGGCCTGTGACAATCTTCGAGTGTCGGGCTTGTGTAAGATGGGTGACGAGCGACACCCTCTTTGGTGATGCCCGTCACTAGACTCTGAGAGTGCAAAATTTTCATCTTCAAACTCCATCAGTTGCACGATTTGCTCTGCACTCAGCCTCTTTTTCTCCACTGTTTCAAGCTCTTTTTTACTCCTGACTGTGATGGCATTAACTCGGTGCTTGGGATTGATAT